AATATGTAAGAGTTAATTACCGAGAAGCGAGGCATTTAGCCATATACAGCCCGAGGCGCGTACATGATTGACGCGGTTTTCTTTGTTATTCATAGACCTTTATTTTCCATAATGTCTTTCAAGTATATAAAAGCCCGGGGAGGGATTTGATATTCAGCAGGGAAGAGTGGGGCTGATGAATTGAATTACTAATTAGCTATTCTAGTGCAATATCTGTATATTGCGCTGAGCTCCAGTGCAATATATGTATATTGCACTCAGTTTGAGTGCAATATATCTATATTGCACTTGAATAATTATGTATTAAATACCTCATGAATAGTTTAATGAGGTGTAATATGTATGACTATAATAATAATAGGTATCAAGTGTCACAGGGGTGATTGGCAAGGTATTAGAACATTAGTAATATGAGACAGGGACATTAGAATTGTTATTGTGTGATATTCTAGCGTGTAAAAGAGTAATAGAAAAGTCTGGTTTTGTATCGTTGTTGTCTGATTCGCGTATATTACATTTGGTGCCGTGACCAGGATGGCAACAGCGACGCGTACGAGTGTAGCACTTCCCGAGATCTTTTCAGACGGCGATATGGTTCTGTGGCTGCGAAAATTTGAGCTTTGTGCGAAGGCGAACGATTGGAAAGATACGGATATGTTAAAAAGGCTGCCAACTCTGTTGTCTGGCAAAGCTTTTGCGATTTTCGAGCGTCTTGCGGCGGAGACGAAAGAAGATTTTAAAGTACTAACGAAAGCGCTAACGGAGGCTTTTGGTGGTGATGAGAACGGCAAACATCTCGCGATGATGGCATTTCGCAGCCGAATGAGAATGCCAGACGAAGACATCCAAGTATTCGCCTACAATTTAGAAGCGCCATTAAGACGCGCGATGCCAAACATCGAGAAGGGCGCGACAGAGAAACACTTCTCAAGCAACAATTTGTCGAAGGAGTGTCTATAGAACTAAAGAGACAATTATTACAACGACCGACCCTCTCGTACGAGGAGACAGTTACGGCGGGGCAACAGCTGGAGTTAGCGGGTCAGATTTCATCGAGTCAATCGGTTAACGAAGTGAATACGAGCGGTGGCACGAATCAAACGGTAGTAGAGTCGCCCTTGGTTATGCAATTGATGGAAAGTGTAGATATTCTTACGAGGAAGGTTAGTGAATTATCTCAATCTGTTGCTAACGTAAACGCAGCGTCTGTGCGAAATTCCCCCGCGGGGCGCCGGGGCCCTTGTTATCAATGTGGGCGAATGGGTCACAGCGCCAGCGAATGTAGGAGTACGTCCGGGAACGGGCGACGAATGAATTATCGACAGCGCCAAACTGAAAATTACTGCTTTGTTTGTGGACAGATGGGACATTTCGCGCGGGAATGCCAGTTTCGATTCCAGTCCTCCATTAATAGCCAACCACGTCAGGGAAACGAGCAGGGGCCGACCCGTTTCTAGGCCGGGGGTCAGCCCAGGATAATGCGGCCTTGCCCATAAACTGTGTTCAGCCCACGGCAGTCTTCGTAAAGGCACGATTGGGCGACCATGAGCGAAAATGTTTAGTGGACACAGGTGCAACGGTGTCGTTAGTCAGCAGAGAATTTATTAGTGGACCCTTAAAGCCATGTTCTTTGAGGGCAAGAGGGATTGGCGGGGAGGACCTACATGTGTTGGGATCAACGGACTTGCATGTTTGCCTTGGGATGTCGAAGGTCTCCCATCAGTTTCTGGTCGTGGGTATGAGAAACACTTGCATTTTGGGGGCCGATTTCTTAAAATCGGGGGGAATGGTTGTGGACATAGCGAACTCGAAGCTTTCGTGGAAGACAGGGGAAGCAGAATTAATCGTTGAGACAACTTCCCCAACTGTGAACAAGCTAAGTGTTCTGCTCGAAAGTTATTCAGACATTTTTGTAAACGTGCCGAGCGATCCCTTAGGCTTAACTACCAGGGCGGAACACGCGATTGATACAGGGGATAGTCGCCCAGTGAAGCAAAGGCCCTATCGGATTCCCGTTCATCTCAACAAAGTGGTGAACAATCAGGTAAATGATATGTTAGACAGAGGTTTAATTCAACCTAGTAACAGTCCTTGGTCCTCGCCCATCGTGCTAGCTCCGAAGAAAGACGGTGATTACCGGTTTTGCGTTGACTTTCGACGTGTTAACTCCGTAACAAAGAAGGACGCTCAGCCAATGCCCCGTATCGACGACATTCTAGACCAGTTGGGGGGTGCACATTACTTCAGTACCCTAGATCTCGCTTCCGGGTATTGGCAGGTACCGTTAAGAGAG